CCCGCCCCGCCTGCCACACAAACCCTCCGGGGCTGTGTCCCATCAGCACAGATGAAACTTAGCATCATGCTAAGCTGAACTTGCTGGAAAAAGCATACCCCCTTGGCCTGTCATGGCCCTCTCCCTCCTGCTCGTGACACTCCAGCCACAGGGACCTCTCACTGCCTCCGGCAGCCCAGCTCTCCCCAACTCTTTGCCTGGCTAACTCCCATGTACCCTTCTGAACTCAATGAAGGTAGCATCTCCCTGGGGTCTCGCCTTCATAGCCCACCCTTCCTTCCCCTTAGCATCCATCGTGATTTGTCATCACCTGGTGCTGTTTGAGCACATCCCTCCCCTGCTGGGGGGAGCCTAAGGAAGGCAGGCCTATGTCTGCCTTATTATCCTGTGGACACAAGGCAATCAGACCCATGAATACACAGTACCCAACACAGGGAAGACAGCTCATAAGTGTCATGGGCTAACGAAATGCTAAGGAATTTGGAATTACCTCTGAGTGTGGACAGCTGTCTCTCTGAATAGAATGGAAACTCCTGGAAGGCAGGGACTTTGTTTTGTTTATAATTGAATCTCCAACACCCAGAAGAGTCCCTGGCACATGATAAGTACTCAAAAAAATACAGGTTGAAATACAAGTCAGCCATTCAGGTGTCAGGCTTGGGCCCTCCCAGAGTGGAAATGGAGACAAAGTCTGTTGTAGAATCAATGACAAGGAAAGGGGACCTCGGGAAGGAAAGGAGTGAGGTCCATCTCTTCCCATGGGAATACCATCCTGGCTTTGTTCATCTGAGCTTGAATCCTCTATGCCAGGGTGGACAGTCTATACTCAGAGTCATGTGAACTATATAGTGTGTCAAATGGCCTGAGGCGCAATGGAGAAAAGTAACACAGGGATGTTGGATAAGGATGCTAGTATGAAGGGGCTACTTCAAAAAGGGAGATCAGGGGCCCCAGGTGGCTAGGTTGGTTGGGTGTCCGACTCTTGATTTCAGCTCAGGTCATGAGATCGAGCTCCACACTGAATGCAGTTCTGCTTGAGATTCTCTCTCTCCCTCTCTCTCTCTCTCTGCCCCTCCGCCACTCACACTGGTATTCTCTCTCTCCCTCTCTCTCAAAATAAATAAATAAACATTAAAAAGGGGGGTAGGGGGGATCAGGGAAACCTTGCTAAGATAGTGGCATCTGAGGAAAGACCTGACAGAGATGAGGGAGGAGGCCAGACCACTCTCGGGAAGCAGGAGTTCAAAGCAGAAGGAATGGTGAGAGCAAAGGCCCTGAGGCAGGCTTGCGGTGCTGGAGGATGCAAAAATGAAATCGTGTGCTGGAAAGCAAGAGAGAAACAGGAAAGGAGGCAGGGAGAGAGTGTAGGGTCACTGCAGACAATGAGTGTGTACCCTGGGGAGCAAAGCTCCAGCCCTCATTCTGTTCACTAACACTTGTAGCTTAACTCCTGTTCCACCCAGTGGTGGCAATGTTGCCTAATTCTCACAAATGCAAGCCAGGGGTTAGCAGCAGCTGTGGGTTGGAGGGCCAGGCCACATAGGGCCTTGTAGGAGCTTGGCTTTTATTCCAAATGAGACAAACATCCAGTGGAGGATTCAAGCAGAGAAGTGATGTGATGGGGTTTTTTTAATGTTTATTGTTTTTTGAGAAAGAGAGAGAAAGAGTGCGAGCAGGGGAGGGGCAGAGAGAGAGGGAGACAGAGGATCTGAAGTGGGCTCCATGCTGTCAACAGAGAGCCCGATGCAGGGCTCATACCCACGAACTGTGAGACCATGACCTGAGCTGAAGTCAGATGCTTAACCTACTGAGCCACCCAGGTGACCCATGATGTGATGTTTTTAAAAGATGGCTCTCCTGTGGTTCTGAGAATGGGCCAAATAGGATTAAGGGTGAGAGCAAAAAAGACCAGATCAGAAACTAGAGTCAGAATCCACTGCAGTAGAATCCTTCTCCCTTTCAGCCAAGCCAGAGCCCTCCTGGATGAGGGCTCTTTCCTCATGGTCATGACAAGCCATCCCCGTAAGGAAGGACAGGTTGCCACGGTCTCCTGCAACTTGGCCTCTGCCCACAGCCCCATGCCATAGAATGAAATAAATGTCATCTTAGTGGCAGGAACCACAATCAAATGAGTCCTAGGGTATCAGTTGCCAATAGCCCATGGCCATCTCATTGACCTCCAGCCCTCTCTCTCCCTGCTCCTCCTTTGTCCTAGTCTTGATCTCCAGTGGTGTCTCCTTCACCTGTTGCTTCCTTGCTCTAGCCAAGCCCTCCCAGTCCCTGCCCATGCCTGAGGTGTGGTGATATGCAGTCAAATTTCCCGTCCAAGGTGATCAGAAGTAGCCAGAAGCACTTTGCTCTGTTGAACTCCTGTGTGGCCATCTTTGGGCCTCACCTCTCTTACCCTTCTTCCCTCCGCTCACACATTCCATCCTGTCCCCAGCATTTGCCCAGATATCAGAGGCTGGGCATACAGCACAATGGTAGACTTTGGCCATGATTACTCTACATTCAGACCACAGGTCAGGCTCTGGCCTCAACACTGAATTCCTCTGGGACTAAGGGAAAGTCACTGAGCATCCAGGGGCCTTTGTGCCCTAGGGTTCTTCCCACTACATCCCCAAGAGCAAAGAACGTTCTGAGGGAGCCTCCAGTGGCTGCTGTGCCTCCACCTGTGGACACAAGGAAATGCTGCAGGAAGATCTTCACCATAGACCTTCTACCAGCTTCTGCTTGCTGCTTTGGGTCTGGACTAGCTCTACTCTGAGATTTAATTAGGGAACTAGGGAGAGGAACTTCAATGGCTCCATCTGGCTCATCCTTGGCCTTAGATGAGCTAAAACAAGGAACTCTGACAGAATCCTACTTAGTATGCTATCACTTTAATCCCCAGTGATACCCCTCCCCAAGGCATTCACCTAGGCTGTGAATGGCTCCTTGAGGACAGGACCCATGTCCTAGTCACCCTGTAGCACCTGGCACTGTATCTGACATATAGTAGAGGTTTAGTAAATGTTTGTGGGATGAATGGATGAATCGGTGAGTGGGTGGATGGATGGATGGATGGATGCATGGACGGATGAGCAGGTGGATGGAAAGTGAATAATGATGAATAACATTGAAGTTACTATACCATGTATTTTGTCTGTGGGTATTTTCACACTTCTTACCTGCTTTCCCATCAAAAGGAAAAAATAAAAATAAATTGCTTCAATAAGTCAAACTGAGGCCTAGTGAGGTAAATGCTTTCCTTTCTCAGCACATATACTTCTGGAAGTGATTGTCACCACCGAACTGAGACAGCACAAGGTGGTAAGAGGCGACAGGGCACAAGGCCCTCTCAGTTACTTGATCAGGGACCGGAGACCCGCCTGCCCCTGAGGTACTCACCTTGTCGATGAAGGAGGCAAACTTGTTGTTGAGGGCCATGATCTGCTCCCGCTCCCGGGTCTTGACTTTCTGAATTTCAGGGTCCACCTCCAAGTGAAGTGGCTGCAGGAGGCTCTGGTTAATAGTCACCTCTTGGATGCCCCCTGGGGGACAGGAAGGACCAAAGCCCCCAAGCCCAAAACTGCTACCCCCAAAAGCACCTCCTCCATAGCCACCACCTCCAAAGCCACCACCCCCAAAGCCACCACCTCCGAAGCCACCGCCCCCAAAGCTTCTGCCCCCTCCAAGTCCCCCTCCCACTCCCCCACCCTGGCAGAAACCACTGGCACTTCTCCCCACTAGGCTAATGGAGATGCTTTTGCTGCCTCCCAGATTGTAGAGGCTCCTAGAACCAAACCCCCTGGCGTGGCCCCCATACCCACCACCACCACACCTGCCTCGGGCCTGACACACAGACCCCACAGCCCGACTCCCACCACCAGAGCCCGCGGAAGAGCTAATGTTGTAAAACCGCCTGCTCCTGGAGCTAAATGCTGACCGAGAGCTAAATTGGCGGCTCATGGTTACTAGAGCATCAAGAGAAGCAGCCAGAAGAGAAGGCCCAGCTGGAAGGAGGCAGAGACCCGGGAGGGAAGGAGCTATGACCTCCTTTGACAAGCCATCTGGCTCAGTCCCTATATATATGTGCATTGGCTGGGCTGGGCACCTTGCGAGTCCTGGGAGGGGAATATTTATGTTTAGTTTGCCTGCCAACAACATCTGTTTAAAACCTCACACCTATGAGTTGCAGAAATTGCACTGTAGATAAACTTGCCTGAATTGATCATTTATCATTCATCTCTTGCCATTTTGAGATCAGAGTGCAAAATAATGTCTCAGGATCGAGTTGCTGGAAACTCCTATACACTTTCCCCCCAAATCAGTAGCTGCTATCTTCCTAAGAAACTCCCACCATTGAGCTGTTTGTCTTAGGGTGTGACCAGGAGATCTGGGACAAAGCAAGGGGTTGTCTAGCTGCCTTGCAACCACAGCGGGGACAAGGGTGGAGACATCTGCTCCCATAGCATTACCCTGGTTGGGATGAAAGAGTTGTTCTGACCTCCCTTCACCCTGCTTCTGCTCCCCACTGTTATCACCACCGTGCACACCCCAAATTTTAATCACATGAAAACATGGTACTGTGGTCATTGAGTGTAAGTGAAAGCCGGGGCACTCTGCCCAAGGCTGTTCACATCTTGCTGGGTGTGTCGTGTGCTGCTCTACGGGTCTCAGTCTCCTCCGCCACAAAGTAGATGAGGTCCTGTAGTGCTCAAGGTATATGTGGTTGCAGATGCTGTCAGCACCTACCAGAACCTAACCTGCTCTTCTAGACCAAAAGGCAAACCATCCTGAAATCTCTCTTTTTTTTTATTTCCAACGTATTGCAGACCAATGCTTTGGTAAAATAAAATAAAAATAAATTTCCCCTCAAAAGAGATTTTTTTTTGGAGCGCCTGGATGGCTCAGTCGGTTAAGCATCTGACTCTTGATTTCAGCTCAGGTCATTTCACGGTTCGTG